TTATATTATATATAATAAATATATATATATATATTATATTATATATATATTTATTCATTAAATTTCTTAAAAATGATACACATTATTGAGATCTTCCAGCAAGTTTCAATTACTATGTCGAGAATAAAAATCTCAAAACAGCGAAATGTGACATGTGAGTCTCACGGGGTGCTGTAGAAACATTAGGAAAAAAATTATTTAGATTTTTATGTTCTTATTATCTATGGTTGTGTTTGCAAAGTATTTTCTTTTTCTTTTTATCTTTTTTTTTTTTTTAGATGTGTATACATTATATTTGGGCAAGTATCATTTTTTTTACAAGTATGTATCAGAAAATTCTTTATATTTTTTTATTATTTATTTGTAACTGTTCTTTAATTAATCTGTGTAGAAGAGATATCTATACAATATTTATTGTGCTAAATATAGACAATGTTTATATGTGTATAAAGAAAGAATGTTTTTTTTTTCGGATTTAAAATATATCGATCAATTTCTTTTTAATAAAACAAGAAAAATTAAATACTTTGCAGACATACTATAAATAATAAACACGTGGACAGAATTCATGAAGGCGATATATATGTGTGCTAACCATTATAAATTAAGTGGATTATGCCGAGTTAATTATATTTACGAGTGAAATATTTTGTTAATTATTTGCAAAAATTTTATAGTATTTTTTTAAATATCTTGACTACTATTTCGACGTAATTACATTTACTCAGTTTAAAAAATAATCAAGTTTCCAACATACAAAAATAATTAATGGCATTTGTTTAACTAATAATATGTGAAAAGCACATATCTCAGAATAAAAATAATTTTTAATTAGAAGCACACTTTTGTAAATGTATTACGATATATCTAAAAAATTAATACAAATTTTGAAATCTCATGTCCATAGACTTTAATTAGAGCGAATTCTATGTGCAAAAATTAATCAGACACATCTATCGTTGTTTTAATTAATGTTGGAAAACATTATTAGGCATATGTATCTAAATTAAACACATAATAATTATTCCTTATTCAATTTTTTAAAACGCGAGCTGATTTCCGATTTATATCTATTGTAGTATAATAGCGAAGAAAATTCTCTTGCAATTACTTTGATACACGCGAATGTAATTATTCACATAACACAAATTTGAGAAACTTATACAAATTTTTCCATGTTTACATATATAAAATACATCTGTAGAGTAAACATGTATTTTAAGTATATATTTTAACAATTGTGTAATATACATATAATAGCAGATATAAGTAACAAGCATCACCTTGCTGTGTTACTGCAATGCATTCGTGAACGATGATAATGATAGAATCATTTATCTATAAATGAGTATGAAAATAATTGTTATATTTTCTAGTTTTACGCTCTGAATCTATCGTTTAAGTGTACATATCGTTTATATACGACAAATATTAGATGCCGCTCTTCTTTCGTGGAATGTTAATGTACAGAATGAAGTAATTGATTAAGAATTAAGTAACAATAGAGAGAACGAAATGTTTATAATGTATTACTACTACATATGATATAACGCGTCGAGATGTTAAGCTCGTTAAATCCTCGACAACAGTATTCCTGCAAATACTGTTCGATGTAGCATTTACGTTGAGCGCTAATCGTCATTTTGTTTCATAGTAACGGTAATCTTTCGATGAAATCTCGAATAAAGTGATATTTTTTACGGAAACGTACGCTTTTCAGTTGTAGAATATCAGAACATTTCGATAGTCTCGAGCTAGAATTGACAAACTGCAAAATGCTAGACAGCATCAAATGCGACCAGCAGAAGTGAAATCGAGCGACCAGGTGGATCGACTGTGACGGTCGATCAGTGTGACGCGGTAATGCGCTACACTGATTGTCGGGAGATGCATTGGAGACAAAAAAATCTGTTCGCCAGCTGCGCGATGCACCGTTCGTTCGAGCGGCGTGTTCTCGGTTGCAAGGTGAGCCGGAAATATTCGAGCTGCCGGGAGGGAAGGCGAGCGCGCAGGTGCCGTGCGTTCAAGTCGTGCTGCGATTTTTTTTCTTTTCTCATAAGGCGGTGTACGATATCACCACGCCGTCGGGACATGCTCGAGTGATACACTAAACTGTGCCCTGAAAGTATTTTATATTATTTATATGAATATTATTTTATCAATCTGATTGTGAGATACATGTTTTGCATTGGCATATTGCATAGATAAGATGATTGTGGAATCTGTCATTCACTTTATATTATTTTTATATCTTACATTTTTATTTCCATACTAAAAACTTTTATTTCTCTATATTAAATTGCAAATTGTTGTGCAGATAAATCGAAGAACCGAGGAGGTTCGAGAGAGTGAGGCAGGCTTCTCGGAAGGCATCTTGCACTGTCGGCAGAAAATTCTAGTATACTCGATTTACGGTATCGTAGAAAACGGCCATTCTGAGAATTTAATGAACAGCGTTGAATGCAGGTTCGGATATACCGCGTCCTCCGTCAGGACATTGCTGGCGGTCTCGGTGCCTGAGTCACTCGGCGGTCGCGTTATGAGTCAGACGCGCAGACGGGCCTTATTGGCCAAGGAATTGGTTTCTAACAAAGGAATGTTGTTGCAAGCAGCCGTGCGGTCGTCTTCGCGACGCTTTCTCCATTCACTCGAGTCGCTCGAACGAAAATATACGCGTGCTTATCAATCTTTTTTAATATTATTACACTCATTTTATATGTATGTGATCTCGCGTAACCATATATTGCACTGCAGTAAAACTAAGAACAAGATGACGCGTTTTGTTTCGAAGAAACTACTGTTTCGATATATATATATATATATATATACCGTCTTTAGTAACTTCTTCAGTCATCGGAATATCAATTCATCGTGTTCTCATTTCGACACATTAGGCTAATCGCAAATTCCCGCTTGCATATTAAGATGTGATTACTAATGTCGACGAATATTCCGAACCCTGTCTCAGGCCGAATGTCCATGCGTGCGTCACGCGTCTCGTCGCCCGCTATGACGACACGGCTATCGACGCCCACTCGATACGTGTATGTGTCGTCGCTGTTGTCTATCAATAAAAGGCACCACTTGCGGGCATTGACGGCACGTCCGTATATATATATATATATATATGTATACGCGCGTATATATGTATACATATAACGACACCCATATAAATACATCTGCGTTAACATTACCACGGTACCATTCACGGCTTTCCACGACGCGACGCACGCATTGCGTGCGAGCTTCGATGATATCCAACAAGCGAGAGAGAGGGAAAAAAGACAGAAAATGTAGAGAAGCGAAAGGGTAGATATAGGTATTAGGTAGGTAGGAGGTAAGCAGTTACCGAGAGGGCATTTACCGGGACATTGTTCAGCCGTTTCAGAGACCTGCAACTTTACCAATACGCAGCATCGTGTCCTGAAAGGGACATCTAAAAAAAAAAAAAAAAAAAAAACAAAAAAAAGAAAAAAGGAAGAACTTTTCGCCTACGCCGTCCGTTGATTCCGCACAAAAGCGGACAAAACCTGCGCTTACATCCTCAACGGCACGTGGAACGACGGGGTGTCGTTTACCTGCCTGCCTCTTCGAGAAGAAAGTAAGCCTCTCTTCTTTCCGCGTCCACGAACGCGAACGTGGATACGTTCGAAAGAAGAGAAAGTCGTCGTTGAAGATTCCTACTTATAATCTCGTAAAAAAATGAGTTCTTAATAATAATAATAATACAATACCATACATATTCTCTCTGTATATATACATTTTAACATACTGCAAAATTGAACGTCAATTGAGAGCGTACAATTAGAATGTTTCGTACAATTAGCGATTATCGTAATATATACTAGAGACAACGGGTCATTTTTCGATTCTAATGCGGTTAAAATTACGCGTTGCCTTTGCACAACTACGATGTTAAATAACGTCATTCGTTTACTGCCTGCAAAGTGCAAGTGGGGGATGCGCTTCCCTTCTCCCGTCCTTTTTGCGCCCGTGATGTACCGGGTGACTAATATAGGGGCGGAGGAAAAGGGGAAATGGGAGACACGGCTCCTTGTTATTGCTAATGCGAGCAATTATTTTTCGTGAATCTCGACACGTCCGTAATCTCTCCCATATGCGATCACCGCGTTCCAGGAAGAATCAAGATTTGTCGTTTGCGCCAATCTCCCTCCTTCGTTGACAGCGCTCCTTTTCCGTCCCTTGTCGCTTTGATACTCGATACTCGAAATTATTTTGCATAAAGGGAGATTCTCGACCAGAGGTTTTCTGGATAAAAAAAAAAAAAGACGAGCCGTCATATTCCCACCGCTATAAACGCGTCTTCGATGATCCTCGCTCATCGTGCTCATCTTTCAGTCTCCTCGTCGGCGCGAGAGGATCGTACCCGTTCGGCTAATTGACCGGGTTAAGCAATTACGAGCGACCCCGTTAATTGAATCGCCGCGATAGTCGGCGTCTGACAATGAGTCAAAGCCGGCTGCGAGTGACTCACGAACCGTTGACGTGTCTCGGTGACGCGTGTATCGAGAGGTGACACTCTTCTCATCAGTCGATTAATCATTAATACAAATGTATTGTTGAATATATAATTTAGATATCGCAAACTATACTATGTTAATATTTGACACAATACTATCCTCTTTACCTTTTACGAAATTTTTTCTTTAATATTTCTTTGATTATATGATTATCTTCTTTTATTTGAAAATATCCGATAATATTTTTATACGCAAAAATTTTACAAGCATTGCAAGAGCCTCGCTCTATGTTAAAGTTAACAGAGAAGCGGCTTTAGAGATAGCGTTTCTTGCAAATATACTGCCAGGCGAATATGTAACTCGTAACATACAATCTTAAAATGATACTCTAATTAAAGCTATATGGGACAGAGTTAAAGATAAGTCTCTCATGCCGAAGATAGTTCCGTGACGAGTAATTAACGTGCAAAATCCGGCTCGTTAAATATAGACGGTACAGAGTTCTAGAATATCTCCTTCACTTTTATCGCGAGTATCCAGGACGCTCGATAAACTAAATCCCATATATTCGTGTCTCTAACGTTTCGTAGCAGAATAGCGTCAGTGTACCGCAACAATGATAATGACAATCGATAAAAATGATCCGATAAAAAAGTATTATCGTTCGGAAGCTTTTACGTGGGGATGTCTCTCGCATTAATTAAATGGCTCTGCCGAGCTTAATGGATAGATGATGAAAGAGAACAGAGACGGAAGGTGGAAAACGCGTGTCGCGCCGCCGAAGGTCAAGCCTCTCGTCCATCTCGCGCGAGAGATGATTTCTCCGCAACAGCCGGGCTTCTCGGAATTTGCACGATTGCGGCGCGGCCTCGAGATCGCCGCCGGCTGGATGCACCCTCTCGCATCGATGCCGGTATCGAGGCAGGCAGCGCCGCGTTGCCGGGCAACCAGACGGCCAGACCGCCAGCCGTCTGTGCCGATCGGTTGGGGTGCGCGAGAGATCACGCGCGCCAGACAAGGGACAGAGGGACGAGGGGAAACCGGAGGGCTGAAGGGCCACAGGGTGGGGCGGCGGTGGCGGCGGCTGCGACGGCAGGGTAACGATACGAGATAGGGGAGGGAAGGGGAGACACGAAGGGTGCTGGAGGGGACGATCTCACGCAAACCTTGGAGCGCACACAATGAGGGAGGGCTGCGCGGATACAGATGGATCTGTGCCTGGCAGTGGGGGAAAGTGCAGCGTGTCGTTGCGTCCGATGGTGCGGGAGAGGAGCGTAGGAAGGGGGTTGGAGGGGAAAAAGGGGTAGCGAGCCGGCAGGGTCGGAGTGCCAGAGGGTGCCGCGCCGAGGAAAAATGAATATTCGCCAAAATGATTTCGGAGCCGGCGACTGTACTATGAGAGAGAGAGAGAGAGAGAAAGAGAGAGAAAATGTTTTTTTTTCCCGACAGGGGAATATAATCGATGATACCTCTCACATTGTCCTCGTTGTCGTCCTCGTCACAAGCGCTACTCTCGACATTTTTTTCTCTTTTTTTTTTTTTTTTTATATTTCGCTTTTATTTTGCGACGGCGTTGTAACCAGATTGCTCGCGAACCAATATCGCAAACCGGTCTCGACGAATTTACGAGGATGAATTGGTCAGACGACGATTCGAAGGCGGAAGGTTGATTCGCGAGAAGACGTATCGCGTGCCAAGAACTTTGGAAAGCGCTATAATTTCATTCGAATGAATAATCGAATAACATGAGGGACATGAAACTGCAATAAAAACCAAATTATATCGGTTTATTAATAGCAAGCATGGAAATCGATCAGCAGGCCATTGAGGGAGAGAATTATTTAAATATGGAAATTAAATCCGACGTGCTCACAATATCAATTATAATTGGAGGTACACAATGATTACATAATCTCGTTTTGCGGATTATCATGGCAGTTATCGAATTTATATATATATATATATAATGCGGCTAAAGTTGCCACGCCACGGATGCGCAAAAATAGATAAGGAAGCCGGAACCTAAAAGAATTGATCTTTCGAAAAATGAAATGTAAAGATATCTTTTAATATTGTCTGATTCTTATCTATTATCTGATTCGTGGCAAATAAGAATTAAAAAATAAAATCGTTCTTATCGTTCGAAACTCCTCGGTATTCCTTTAACAAACTTTTCTCGCGCAAGCCGTCAATTATCGGCGTATACGCAGTCTCTCTCTC